GTAGCTTCTCTGCAAGTGTGGGCTGGAGGAAGACCGCTTGCTTTACCTGTTCATACAGCTTATAAACACTTTACATCACGTTGGAAGTATGTATAAATTTGGATTTTATATTAACAATGTAATTGATGTTTAGTATAAAACATTAAAGGTTATGAGGCATTTTGTACCTAAGATATTGCAACAATTTTTATGCATCTTTGGAAAGCTCTTATAGAGAGGAATTAAATGGTATGCTTTTCAATTTTTAATTTTTAATTGTTGTCAAGCATAGGTATAAACTTTTTAAAAATTCCTTGCTTTTAAACTAAAATCTACGTAATGGTTTATGTGGAAAGTTACACAGAGATATGACAATCATGTTTCCCTGATTAATTGTTTTAATTTATCTTTTTCTCTTTCTTGTTCAAACAATCAGAGTGCAGCGTTTGGTTTCATATACAGCCAGTCCTATGTATGTCTGTACACCAGACTTGTGTGGTAATAATAATTAGATTGAAAGCAATGCTATTTGATATTTCTCAACAAGAGCTTTCTACATATGTGTAGAAGGTGTTCCACATTTGTAAGTTCAAAGTATCACATATAGATTAATATTGTTTTTTTTTTTTTTTGTAATCTTTGCAGTTGGAATCAATGGGTTACTCTTCCTATTTCTTATTCCGACTTACCACGAGATGCTCAATTATGCATAAGCTTGTATGATTGTGCTGGGCCTGGTAGACGACTGCCAGTTGGCGGTACAACAATATCTTTATTTGGAAAACATGGAGTCTTTCGTCAGGGAATGTTAGATCTTAGAGTTTGGCCTGGAGTAGAAGCAGATGGTAGTATATCTACCAGTACTCCAGGAAAAACTAGAGATCATGGAAAAGAACAAATGCAGAGATTAGCAAAACTTGTTAAAAAGCACAGAAATGGTCAGATGAACAAAGTTGATTGGTTGGATAGATTAACATTCAGAGAAATCGAATTAATTAATGAAAGAGAGAAAAGAGCATCTGAATATTTATATTTAATGATTGAGTTTCCAGAAATTACTATGGATGGAATACCGGTATGAAGAACTCCATATTTAATAAATTCGTTTTTTTCTAGTATTATTTTTCTTGTTGTTACCCTATATATGAGATAAGGAAGAAGTTTTAATTTTAATTTTTATTCTCTTTATCTTACACATAAAGTAAAAGGGACTGATTTATTAGTATTAGATATAAACGTATAGGTTATGATCTAATCAATTTCTATTGTATTGATACACTGTCTTTGTTGTAGTACTCAGTAGTATATTATGAGAGAGATGGGGATGAAGTTGTTCAACATAGATCCCAACCAGATGTTGTAACTCTTCCTGATTATGAGATTTTACAAGTAAGTGTGATTATAAATTATTATATTTTCTCATACAATTCACAAAACACGAATGATTACCCCAACACATGTACTTCTAATTTGGTTTATCGTCATCTTTAAAGGTAAAATATACACAAACATTTTATGTTTCAGAAAAACGAAACTTTGCTTTTTTCTGTTTTACCTGTACAATTCAAGATAAATTGAAAAATATTTATAATCTTGACAAAAAAGTATGATACAATCTAAAACTTTTGTTTGATGTATTAATTGACATACATATTACTTAATCTGAAGCAATATGCTTGTAACGAAAGTAAGTAAGATTTATAAATGGCTGGTTAGTGTATGCTACATTTTTGATTGATTTAAAAAGAAATCCATATATCGTAAATTTTCGCTATATGTAACATAGAAAAGAAATTCAACAGGTAAAACAAGAAGTACATAACAATTATTTTTATTTATCTATGAACAATACATATCTCAAATAATTTAAAAGATACAAAGTACACTCTTTGTTATTTTAAAGTAATGTCATAACAAAATACATACACAAACACTTAATTATTAAGCGAATATATCTGTGTTTTCATTTTATGGACATTTAATTATTTTTAGGAAAATCTTGTGGAAGCAAAGCATCATAAATTAGCTCGAAGTTTACGTAGTGGGGATCACACACGAGAATTAAAGCCAACTTCAAATGTACGCGATGCTTTGAATATAATATTAAGTTATCCGCCAACGACGGCACTTTCTACCGAGGAACAAGATTTAATTTGGAAATACAGATTTTATTTGTCAAGTCAAAAGAAAGCTTTAACAAAGTTCGTAAAATGCGTGAATTGGAAAGTTGCCGGAGAAGAACGGCAAGCTTTAGAAATGTTAACATTATGGGCACCACCTGATCCCGAAGATGCATTAGAACTACTTGGTCCAGCATTCACGCATCCAGCTGTTAGAAGATACGCTATAGGTCGGCTTAATCAAGCACCCGACGATGACTTAATGTTATACTTGTTACAGTTAGTGCAAGCTTTAAAATATGAAGATTTTGAAGGCATTAAAAGAGCACATCATACATTAATGAAGGACAAGGAATCTGAAAAAATCGATAGATTAGATAGAGACATACAGATCAACGATTCTTCATCTACGCCTATTACAAATGTAAGTAATTCTGTGGTAGTAATATTAAGGTTATAAATGATTACAAATAGTAAACATAATTTGCAGTCCTGTGAATCCGAAAACGGGCAGTCCTTGACAAATCAAGAGTCTCTTATGGATTTAGCATCTTTCCTGATTACTCGTGCATGTCAAAATACCACATTGGCTAACTATTTTTACTGGTATCTTTCTATCGAATGCGAAGAGCAAAATGACCCAGCTATAAGTGCAAAACAAGATACGCGTGTTAAGGAAATGTATATTACCGTAATGACAATGTTTTCGGCAATACTGGCTCAAGGAAACGCTATTTGGCAAAAGAGAAGAGCGTTTCTTCTACGTCAAAAGATATTTATTGACCAATTAGTAGCGCTCGTGAAAGCAGTCGCTAGAGAAAGTGGAAATCGTAAAAAAAAGACTGACAGGCTTAGAGCATTACTGGCAGATCCAGACCCAGCATTCAAAATTAATTTCTCCAATTTTGAACCAATACCTTTTCCCTTAGATCCAGAAATTTGTATCAAAGGAATTATTCCCGAAAAGTACGAATTACTTTTATTCCGTATAGAGCGAGTCTGATTTATCGATTTTAGGTTAAACTGGTTTATGTGAAACATGTTGTATTCGATTAGGCTCATCACATGTAGATATTTTATTTTATTTTATGACTATTTGCCACATTAAATACAACAAATAAAGCAATGTATATCTAATTAATTATGTTATGTCGCTATAAGATTCAGAGAATGAAACCATTTAATTAATCCAATCAAGGCGATATCAAGATTGTATTGTATCGTAAATGTGTGAAATGCTTCTAGCCGAATAAACTCTCGAATATAACATATTTTACGTAAAGCAGTTTTTCCAAAAATCAATACATAAAAATCGTTGGATAGCAACTGTTATAGACTCGTTCTGTATATTAAATGTATTTACGTTTCGTATACTTGGTATTAAAAAAAAATTATTCTTTTCAGAGCAAGTCTCTTTAAATCAGCTCTTATGCCATCCAAATTAACCTTTTTGATGACGGATAACAGTGAATACATTGCAATTTTTAAACATGGCGACGACCTAAGACAAGATCAATTAATTTTACAAACGATAGCACTTATGGACAAATTATTAAGAAGGGAAAATTTGGATTTAAAACTTACTCCTTACAGGTAAATATTGTTAGACTGATCCATGTAATGTAATGTTTTATTTAAAATGTAAATTAATTTTTTTTCTAGGGTCCTTGCAACGAGTACTAGACATGGTTTTTTACAATTCATCGAATCTACGACAGTCGCAGAAGTTTTAGCTAGCGAGGGTTCTATATTAAGTTTTTTTCGTAAACATCATCCTTCCGAGAATGGTCCTTATGGCGTTGTACCTGAAGTTATGGACACTTACATTAGAAGTTGTGGTAAGTGTACACAATAATAATTTTTAGTAATACAAATTAAATAAACTTTAACTTTTCAGCTGGCTATTGTATTATTACATATGTACTTGGCGTTGGGGATCGGCATTTAGATAATTTGCTCTTGACAACATCAGGTAAATTTCTTTGCAAAATCGTAAATATAAAACGTGACATAAGTACAATATTACTATCGAAAAAAGAATAAAAGGACGTAATTGCAAGGACATTTATATTACAGGGAAACTTTTCCACATAGACTTTGGTTACATTCTCGGCAGAGATCCAAAGCCTTTACCGCCGCCTATGAAATTGAGCAAAGAAATGGTTGAAGCTATGGGAGGCGTAGGATCGGAACATTATCACGAATTTCGAAAACAGTGTTATACCGCATTTTTGCATTTACGCAGACATGCAAATTTGATGTTAAATCTATTTTCGTTGATGGTGGATGCTAGCGTACCAGATATAGCGTTAGAACCGGATAAAGCTGTAAAAAAAGTTCAAGATAAATTGCGATTGGATTTGAGCGACGAAGAAGCGGTGCATTATGTTCAGAATCTTTTGGATTTATCGGTAACAGCTGTAATGGCAGCATTAGTAGAACAATTGCACAAATTTGCACAGTATTGGCGGAAATAAACCCAAATCAATCGAAATAATGATCACAAAGACTGTGTTCCTTTTTAACTATTGCAAATATTACTATATTGTATATAAATGACCATACGTCTATAAATGTAACATAATTTATTGTATTTTGAGATTATTTTAGCTAATAAATCTTTGATAATAACGAAGGATTGTACTTCTTGCGTGTTTGCAAATTCCACGGAAAAAAATTTTACTTCTTAGCATGTTATACTAAGATATAATATATTATCAAAAAACTAAGACAAACGATATTTGTTAATAATTTTTTAAAACAAATTTTAAATATAAATTTCTTATACATATTTACTTGCAAGTTTCTTCGTTATGACGATAGACTAAAAGGAAATGAAATATTCTTTTACAGAGAAAAGTTTATTGTAATGGGAAATTTTCAAATAATAAAACAACTAAAAGCATTCATTGTACATACATATAATCTGTTACGTAAATATTCATATATTTATATTATCTCTTAGTTACAATCGTGTATGTGGTGCACACTGTAGAAATAAAAAGATAATATTGTTAGTGATGAAAGTATCAAATTGTTATTGATATAAGAACGCAGTAATGGTAATTTATTCGGTATCACTTTATGCCACTTAGATTTGGTTACTTCAACGAAGCAACACACATATCCCAACTTACGATTGTATCAGAAAGTTTTATTAGAAAATGTAACTATATCTTTACCCCCATCTCACAGTATTATATACTATTTATAGGTACAGAAATTTTTGTAGTGTACCTCTTTCGAGTGGAAGATATATATGCATGTATATTTACGGAGGTACATATATGCATGCATAAATATATACATATCGATTCAATTGTAAGAGCAATTAAAGAATATTAACAATTCAGTTCATCTTAGAAAATTTATCTGGCCCAATTTATCCAGAACATTTGATCAACTTTGTGTTTTCTTTTTAGTGCGACATTAATAACTTTAATTAATAACTTTCTTCTCCTGACGATAACATAATACATAATATGTACACACGTGACCGTAATTGAAAACGCCACGAGAAATAAAAACAGATTTATTTTTGATAACATGAGTTTATAAAGAATATAATATAATCATTTCTATTAGGATATGTTGGTAAATCTGTCTTGTTTAAGATCTAATAAGACTTCTTTAAAAACCATAAAAATGTACTTTCAGTCGATCATTATGTATCTAAATTGGTTTACGCGTAAAATATGCGATGTTTTGGGTAAGTTAATTCGACAGAAATTGAATTCTCAGAATATTTTCAATTAAAAATCACTCCTTGTAGGTATAAACTTATCTCAAACACGACAGATTTCCTAATAAATCGTTTTTATCCTTTACACTTCAACACACAGATTACACATCACTATATTTGAAATAATAGGCTTCTTTATTTCTCATAATGTAAGCTATTATCTATAAAGTAAACGCTGTATGTCTAATAACACGATCCTCGATTCGCTCAACCATTCGTACCTGTGATTAGTTACAACATTAAAAAATTTCTATCAGCAGGCGACGCATCGAGCGAAAGAGAAGGATGGTGAAAAACTTATCTGAAAAATTAAGTCTTCAAATGAGAGCCCAAAAAGTCTTTACTTGTATTTTACAAATATTTTGAGGCGTAGATTACTGGTACTTTATTGAAGATATATTGTGCATTTATTTTTATACAATCACTCGAGCTGATGTTCTTCGGGTGTCAGACGAAAAATCGCTCGTTACGACTCGACACTACGGAGTAGTAGTAAACTCATGTAACCCCAACCATCTTTAATAAGAATGTATAGCAACGTATAAGTATTTTACGATCAATTTATGTTTATTCATTCAAGATGATTGTAAAACAGATTATTCATAGGACAAACATATTTCTCATACGACAATCACATCATGAAAACATAATTGGTAGATCTTACTACTACTCCAATGATCCATAGTAAAATTTTACAACATACACATTACATGTGCAAAGTGTTTGAAAATGCACAATAGCAATGAAATAATTAGATGACAAAATATTAACGTGTTCACTTTCAAGAATTAAATGAAATCATGGGTATATTATATTGAAAAGACGATACTAGTTCAGTATATGAAAAAAACAATAATTAGATCATAGTGTCTTTGTAATGAAACCATATTTCTTTATAATTACATTGCTTACGTACCGAGTTCTATCTACGGATTGCATCCGTTGTCGATATATATGTATATATATATAAATATATCGACATATATAAATATATATATATATACATACATTGTGTTAACATGTACGTATGTATATACATTTAGTAGACATAATATATGTATATATTTTTTATATATAGATATAAATTATAGTAAGAATCTAATTTTAATCTTACGTCTAGTCACTTATCATCTTAATATTATATGTACACTTGAAAATAGATTCGAGTTTATCTATCAATGGCTGTAATGTCTGATAGTCTATGAAAACAAGGAGTTTCCCCGTAGCACAATGCTATTTCCTATCATAATGTATTACCTTTCTGTAGGCTTGGTGGCTGGTACAGAACTTTCTACAAGATCATGCCTTTCTATAGGTGAATTCTCCAATGTGTAATCGACTGGGTATCTTTCCGTGTATGTAGGAGTAGCTTCTCCTTGTTGCCTTAATTTTAATTCGTCCGACTGTTCTTGATAAAAGCTTTGCGAGGCTTCAATATTTTGCGAGGACTGCTCCGTCTTTTCTATATCGTCCGTAGAGTAGTAACTTTGACTTGCCTCACTTTCTGGTCTGTGATCGTAATAACTAGGAGAAACATTATGACTGGAATAGCTCGGTGTAGCTTCTTCTGGATTAAAATAGCTCTGACTTGCTTCTTGCGGGTTACCCTCGTAATAACTGGGTGTGACCTCCTCCTGTGGATCTTCATCCAACCTAGAATTTGTTTCTTGGCCTACCGATTCATAATAGCTCGCTGTCACTTCCTGGTGATGAGCATAGTAGCTGGAAGGCTCGTTTCTATGATCCGTGCTCTCGGTAACGAAATTCTGGGAGGGAGCCTCTTCTAGGCCAGGCATCGAGATCGGCACTTCGTAAGAGGTTGATACATTCTGCTCTTCGTAACTAGAAGTTGGTACAGAATCCACGTGGGTTGACGAAATGTCTGGGTTCAAATTGTACGAAGATGTAGGTATTTCAGGTACTCCATTGTCATGGATACTCGTGTGCTCTGCGCTGGACGACGCAATGTTCAGTTCCGCGCAGGGTGGAATCTCGCAAGACGACGTACTTATTGCACTTTCTTGGTCTGGATCTCTTTCTTGGTTCTCAGGAGTTTCTGGAACGTAAGACGAACTGGCAGTTTCGTCCTCGTTGAGACCAGAATTATTCGTAGAAACCGAAGAGGTACCGATACCGTCAGCACCAATGTCGTTCGACTGAGACGGCATGTTTCCCTCCTGGCTAATTTCAGTGTCAGTCTCTAGATTTTCCGAAATATTTTCCGCTTTACCGACTTCGTAGCTCTGCGTTGGAAACGTTTGATCGTCGATCGCCTCGTCCATAGTCGTTCTCTCCTCTTGACTCTGCATAAGTTCGTTAAACGATTGCGTAGGCGCATTTGTACTTGCTTCCGCGGAAGTCTCGTACGACTGAGAGGCTTCGTTAATTTTCGAATGTTCAAACGATTGACTCGGTGGTTCCGTAACGATTGCTTCTTCGTCCGTTTCCATTGGCTCGTATGTTATCGACTGCGACGGCTCCCTCGAATTCTCGGACTTCGTAGCAGATTGACTAGGTAAATCGGTAGAATCGGTAGTCACTGCTACTCCAAATTGCTCGTACGATTGCGACGGCGTTTCGTGATTAGTCTCTAAATTCGTATCTTCGAAATGTAACTCTAAATTTCTTTGCACCGGTTCTGATTCACCCTGAGACGACGGCTCGTCTCTTTGGCAGTCATCTTTAATTGTACTCGCAGCATACATTTTCGAATCGATAGCCTCGTCTACATCCATACTTTGCTCGTCTAAACGATTCAGTGACTCCGCAGGTACAATTTGCGCTGACTCTGGAACAGATTCTACTTCGTTAGATGTTGCAGCTTGCTCTTCGATTACTGGAGAGGAGGCTATAGTACTAGTTTCTCGAGTCAAATTCAGTTCTTTAAGTTTCTCTGTGTTTTTTGATTGTTGCGAAGTATCCGTTTCCATTACGTTCGAATCGGAAACTTCAAAACTCGTGTGTTCCGCAGGCGACATTTTTGAACTGGATTCAGATGTAACTAAGGCAGTCTCATCTATTATCGACGAACTATTTGTCGTCGACTCATCTGGTTGCTTCGCAATTTGCACATGTGCTATATCATCATTATTGCTAACTTCTTCGCTTTGACTACCCGCTGCAATGATTGAACTGCTATCTTCTTTAACAATCGTATCCTGTAAAACTATCTCTTCCGATTTAATGGGTATTTCTTGAGAAGAGATCTCTTCCTGCAAAGATATTTCTACACTGTTCAAATCTTGGTGTTCGTGTAAAGTGGAAGGTTCATTTGTTGATACGATAGATTCTTCAGAGGATGCAGGAACATCGTCGCATACTATCATTTCTGATGTTACAGTAATATCTTGCGATTGTATAGTTTCCGTGGAAATAGCAGGCTTCGAAACAAGCATCTCAGAAACAGGTATATCCACAAAAGATTGCTCGGTTGTTATCGATGGTTCAATGGTAGATGTAAATTGTACATTTTCAGTATAGGTGTCATCTATTATAGGCATCGAAGGAGTCGTTTGAACTTGGGAACTTTGTAAAACCATGTTGTTTGGTATTGAAACTGAATATGAAACGCTAGGTATTGATATTGCGTCGTTTTGAACATTTTGAGCATCCACAGCGATATTACTTTCCAAATTCGGTAACACTAGGTACTGTGTACTCGCAGGAATTTCTGTTCGAGCAATTTCCGCTGTACTTGAACTTTCCATGATTTCTCCAATATCTGGCATGGAATTACCAGGAATCTGAATTTGTGCTTCACCAGTTGAAATGTAAGAAATGTTAGGATTCGTTATGGTTATTGGTAGTTCGAGAGAAGATGGAATAGTTGCTATAGTAGAAGTCGAAGTTGATTCCGTTTGTATAGGTAAACTACTGGGCACCTCTAGTGGAGTCATTATAGGCTGATTCAAGGTTAACGATGTTTCAAGTACAGAGGCAGAAGATATTGGCTCGGTAGGTGGGATGATAGTTGACTGTAAAATAGTCTGATTGATCAAACTTGTTTGAGTCAAACCAGTAGTCATTACGCTTCCTGCTGGATTATCCGATAAGCTAATTTCTTGTTGGAAATCCGTATTAGCCAGAGCCGCTGCCAGAATATCTTGATTCGACGTTTGTATCACTTCTGAAGTAGGAAAACTTTCAGATATAATTGTCTGAGTGGGTTCTGTAACAGTGGTTTGTATACTTGGCATGACACCATTGTCAAATTGTAGAACAATGTTATCCAATGTGCCTGCTTCTCCTAATGAACTAGGATCTATGTACAAAGTTCTCGTGCCATCTGGATTCTGTGTAGTGCCTTCCAATGACATAAGAGTATTATTATCGAGTGGTTGTATTTGTCCCTGGTCATCGATAGTTACTAAAACATAAGTTTGCGTTCCGTCGCTGCTCTCCGTTGGTAAAGCCATTATTTGCGGCTGTGTTGCTACTTTTGGTTCTTCCACTTTTTCTACCTCGCTGCCTTTTTCAACACTAAACTTTTCTATTTTAGGTTGCTCTTTCTGCACAGTCTCAGTTAGTACGTTTTCCACTTTTAATTTCTTTTCAGGCTCGATAGGCTCCAGCGGTGGAAGAGATAACGATGCAGAGAGATTCGTATTAACGTTACTCGCGGATGCTGAATTCATCGCAATATTTAATAAATTTTTCTGCTGTTGGGTAGCTTTACTTATCGCGTGACCTTTTGTAGAAGCCTTTGTGATTGTAGCACTTGCTTGCTTCTGATCCGTTGTTATCTTAGACATACTTGGCACACTTGTCAGTGCTGTTTGTTTTGTATGAATACTTTGTACTGTCGTGATTGCAGGTTCTTGTACTTTTTGAACAACTATCTTTTGTTGCGATTTTGAGTGTCGGCTACCACGAGGAACGATGACTTTTTGTATAGTCGATGTAGATCCTGCTTTTCCTTTTTGTTGAATTTGTGGATTTATACCTATTACCTGTTGCGTGCTGCCTTGAGATGAAATATTTTGAAGTGAACCTTGCTGAACAACTGTTTGTTTTATTCCTCTCTTTCCTTGATGTACAGTCTTTTGTGTGGGCATAGTATTCTGCAATACTACCGTATTAGCTGTAGCTTTTAATTGTCCAGATCTACCTTGCGAAGACAATGAAACTTTTTGCGATTTTTGTAATATGGGTAACTGCACCTTTTGTTGTACAGATTGATAGTGCACCTTACTTGTGCCTTTGGATGGACTTTTTGCCGCAATGGCTTTTACTTGTTGCCCTGTTATTGGTGTCAAAACAGTAGCTTTGTTACTTACGATACCTTGAGGACTTAAAAGTGTTTTCGTCGTGAGAGCTTGAGATATAGGAGTTAAAATAGCTTTCGAAGTTCCTAAGTTCTGAGGAGACAAAATAGTAGTACCTTTTGTTACTAAAGCCTTTGATCCAATAATCGTTTTCCCGCTTAAAGTAGCAGTACTTATCGGAGTATAAATTCCACCTTTTGTAAGAATTCCCTGAGATAAGGTTCCCAACAAAGCTGTCTTAGCAATTGTTCCTGAAATAGGAGTTAATACTCCTTTCGACGCTATTATACTTTGGGTATTAAGAATTTTATGTCCCGCAGGAAGCTTAGATGTCGTTGGTGAGACACCATCTCCCTTTGGGGCAATTATTGTTTTTGAATTTACGATACCCTGTGGACTGATAGGACAGAGTACTTGGCCTTTATTGGTCATAATTCTTTGAACTTTACCACCTAATGTTTTAGAGATATTTAAAGGTAACATTTTCGTTTGACCAGATTGAGCTGACGTTAATATAACCACTTTTCCTCCTTGTTGAACTATTTGTGCATTTCCAGCACTTTTACCAGATGGTATAGCAATTTTTTGTTGCGTTCCCGTTTTACCTTGAACGCTATAACGTAATTGCTGTCCTCCAGAAGTTTGAACAACTACATATTTACCTGGTGTTCCCTTCTGTGTTAGAAGAGGAGGAACTTTGCTTGTTGCTGGAGCACTTTGAAACTTTAAACCTTTTACGCCACCGGTAAGTGGTGGTACTAACGTTTTTATACTCGTGATCGTAGGTTTCGTTTTACTTTTGTTTTTCAAGATTGCGGGTGTACCACTCTTCTTCTTCGAAGGCGATAATTCGCTTGTACTTTCATTTAATTTAAAATGGGTTTGAGTGGGTGACACTATTTGTGTGGTAGGCGTGAATGACAAAGTTGCCGGTATCGTACTGGATGCAGGTATGATGGATGATATAACAACAGGCATTTGTTCAATACTTTCTGGAGTTAAAACATCTTCGCTCAAGACAAATGGCATCGAGTTTATATCCAGTTCCATATCCGCCAGGCTTTGTGAACTTTGTTGAATATATTTCTCTGTTGTGGTTGTTGCGGTAGCAGTTTTCGATGTTTTCAGATTTAACTGTTCATTTTGTGCTTCCATCATTGCGGCAGTTTCTGCTTCCTCAGCTTTCAGCACTTGTAATTTTTTAGTCAGAGACAGATTAGGAGATGTAACTTTTAGACCAGTTTTCATTTTGGCGTTCGACGACGTAGACTCGAGTTTCATTATTTTTGCCTTTGAACTACCTTTTTGATCACCTTTTTTTGTACTATCTGTTTCTAATTTATGCTTCAGTCCTTTCTGTGGTAACTTATCCAGTAATTTTGATTTTAAAATCTGCATAGGTTCAGTCAACGTAACATTTTCAATTATTCGCGGCATTTCACGTTTCTTTACTGGTACTGTAATGTCCGATGATGGCGAAGGTGTGGACGTAGACATTCTTGAAGATTCGTCAAACTTTTGTATGTCTAAGCTGATGGTTTTAGGCCTGTCCTCAATAGAAGGGTACTGTGCTATTGACTTGGTCATAATGCCTAATTCACTTGATGACGATGCTAGCTGATCAATGTTTTGAAACATACTATCGTCCATTTTTGTATCAACTTCAAGATTTTGATCAACTACAATTTCAATACCTTCAAAATTACTTGTAACTGCGATTTGAGAATTATTTTCCTGAGACTGATTGTTAGGAAAGGTTTCTAAGCCTTTATTTAACTCATCATCAGTTTTTACATCTTGGGTTGTCACAGACAAAATGTTTGTGTCTTCTTCATCTTCAAGTTTCTTTTTAACTGATTTCTTACCTCTTCTTCCTTTTCCAGGTGACTCAGAATCATCTACTGTACCTTTTTTCTTATCTATGTGTAAAGTTTTCAAAAAAGCTTCCTGGAATGTGTTCGTTGATTTATCGTCTATCGATTCTTTATCTTTTTTAGACTTAGCACCTGTCTCTGGTGTAAATTTCCCTTTGTACCTTGTTTGCATAGATGATCTCTTTTGAACTTGTTCGCTTAAAACAGTTGGGGCATCTTTGGACAGTTGTTCTGAACTTTCTAATGTAAGTTCTAATTCTTGGGTCTCTGGTGTTTCCATTTCTACTTTATGAACTTCCTGATTTGTTGATATAATTTCTTCTTTATCCTGAATTTTCTTCTCTTCTTTTAATGCATCTTTTCCAATATCCTCATCTGTTGGTTTGATAGTATTCTGTCCAAGTTTTTCCGTAGAATTGTCTTCTTTTTGTTTCAAAGGACTGATTGCATTTGCATCCACACTGGTTTCAACTATTTCATTATTCACATCCTCCAATTTTTCTTGTCCCCTATCTAATTCAGGCTGTGTAATAGTTTTATTGGTGGAGGCATTGGTGTCAAAAAAATCAATTTGTGATAGCTCAAACTTTTTGATTTGAGACTTTTTAGGTGGAAGCATGTCGACTGTTTTCAAAGTATCCAATTTTTTAGGAGTTGTTTCCTTCTCTGGCAAAGGTTCTAACTGAAATGTACTTGAAGATTCCGTTTTCATATCTTTTAAAGTTTCTTGTTGAGGATCACTTGAAGGTAATATATTTTCAGTTTCCATTTCATTACCTTTTCCTTTCTCAAGGTCATGTGTTATACTCTGACTTTTTGAAATATTTTCTGTTATTGACATTTTTGTATCTTCAGAAACTACACGTATATCAGATTTTTCTGGGGAACATCTTTCCTCCGAAGACACTTGTAATTTTTCAGAAGTTTTAATAGGAGGTTGATTGTCACTTACTTCTTTATCTACCTCCAATAACATTTCATTTTTGCATGCACTATTATCAGTCAAATCATGCTTCACTTCTGTACTTGAAGCAGGAACATTATTTTCTGATGAATTCAATACACTACAAGAAATTTCCAATTCTTTTTGCTCTTCCAAAACGATGCCCTCATTTCTTTTCTTGTCCATTTCTATCCCTTTTTTATTTCTCCTTGATTTACTTTTCACTTTTTCAAAACTAATTTCTTCACTTTCGGATTGACTTTCATCAGTTCTATATAGTTTTTGTTCCACATCTTGCACATATATATCAGATTCCAAATATTTTTTATTTGGTTTTCGTTTTCTGCCACTGTACGAACGTTCGCTGTCGGATTCGGATGTTCTTCTCGATAACTCAAATTTTTCAAACAATTTTTTGTTGTACTTCCTATCCTTTATTTTTGGACTTTCAGTTCCGCTTGTATTTCCACTAGTACTGGTATGAGCTGATTCTGATTTTTTTGGCCTACCTCTGCGCTTTCGAACTTGCGGAGTAAAAGTCAATTTATCGTTATTTAATACAATTTTCGTAGTGTCAGATTGAAGAACTCGATCTTGATCCAACATATCTACATCTGAATTTTCGCTTTGTTCAGGAAGTGTGTCAGCGGATTCAGAAATCGTTTCGTCCTCCGTTTCTGTCGTACACTGTTCAGACAAAATGTCGTCAACTTCTTTTGAAGACTTCTGCTTCGTCGGTTCCATATTTTCATCATCGTTAACTGAATCTTTAGATTCTACTTGTTTATTGTCGGTAGGTACACTTTGTGTATCTAATTTTTTATTTTCCATTAATTCTTTGTCAGAATTTATTGCTCGAGTATCTTGTACTTCTAAAGGTTTCGAAGCCTTTATAGCTTTTTCATTCTTACTCTCAACCTTTTCAACCTCGACTATTTCTACAATTTCTAATTCCGTACTAGAACCACCAGAATCAGATTTTTGCACATCTGGTACTTTTTCAACTTCGCTCTTTTCTTTCGATCGTTTAACTTCATTATTTGTCTGCTTACCTTGATCGATATCTTTATTTTTGCCAAATTTATCCGAATCTTGCGCACTCAAAGACAATTGTGCATCTAAGTTTTCAGACTCTTTTGGTTTCGTATCATCTTTACCACTAGCTTTATTATTTTCTGCTTCTTTTTCTTGTTCCGTTTTTAAAGCTTGACTCATTTCGAATTCTTTTATAATTTCTTTCTTTTGATGAAACACGCGAACTTTTTTCCTTACAGGAGGTATGGATGGCTCCTCTTCATGAAAATCAAAACAAGATAATAGGGATTTTTTGTCGTCCTTCTTAGGGACATTAACTTTACTTTCATTGTCAACACTGAAAATTTCCTTCTCTTTCTGTGATTTATCGATTGATTTGTTAATATCAGTATCCAATATTTTCGCATCTTTCTCTTGTTCTGACTTATTATCAGATAGATTTGATTGCAAACTTTTCGAAATGTTAATAGTACCGCCAACAGAATCCTTTATTACGTCGATCGATGTTAATTTCTCAGTTTCTTTAAGCAATTTTTCGGTTTCTGCAATAATTTCATTGGTATCTGGCACTGTATCGTTCTTTTGATTAGAATCTTCTGATTTTTCAAGGTCAAATTGACTTTTCGTTGTCGAGCTACTTTCACTCTGAATTAAAGTAATTTCCTCGTCTGATTCATCTTCCCAATCCGCTAATATAGTATCACGAATTTGAGGATCTGTCTTTTTCTTTTTAGCAGCTTTCTCACTTTGTTTAGATTGCTTTCGTTTGCTTGATTCACTATTACTTTTACTTCTGTTCGACTGAATTTTCTCTTTTTTGACGTATTTTCTTTTAGGAGTATCTACATCTGAAATTCTTCCTTTATACTGGGAATAAGTTTTTACTTTTGATTTTGCCATTGGCGAGCCACCCGACCTATGACTTTTTATATGACAAATAATAACGTTAACGCGGGAAGAAGTGAAATTGCACAAATGACAGGGATATTGCGGAGAAGTGGCACTATTTGGCGTAGACGGTAAACTAGTAGGTTGGTGACGAATTCGAACTTCATGATCACTTTCCTTTAAAAATCGCGGATGCGTAATTTTGCGTACTACTTCAATGCTATCGCTTCTTCTAGGATTTTCCTCGCGCTCTCGTTTTTTCTTAGGAATTTTCTTCTCTCCGAATAGTGCCGATATGTTTGGCTTTTCTTCTGGACAGAATTTATCTTGGCTTAATATGTCTGGATCGCCTCCTGTTAACTTTTCAGCCATTTCAACATCTCCAGGGAATTTATCCATGTACCTAGAGCCATCCTTACTTTTGCTTCTGTATTTATCTGTAAACAATTGTTTAAAAAAACAATCACGTTGGAAATGTTTTCTTAAATGTAAAATTATATACAATTTTTTAGATATTAAACCATTTACATGATTAAATGGTTACACATGTGCAAACAGCATACCTAATCCTTTTTTGATGAAGTCATCTTTTTGCGTGCAATTGTACTTGTAAATCTGTTGATAATTCTTGACAAATTCGCTGAAAAAAGGAAAACATTTACAAGATGTTATTATATGTATTTATAGAATAAATATGCAGATATACCAAGAAACTGAAAACATTGCTAAATGTAAGTAATAAATATATATAAATTGCTTACTATGTATCCTCTTGAAAGAACTTTACAGCAGCTATTAAAGGCTTTTTTTTAAATTCATGTTGAATATCTTCTGGCAAATTATGAAACCCGGTAACTTGTCCTGGCCACCAACAAGCCCCGAGTTTCACCCAGACAATGTCTCCATCCAAGTAATTGATTTCTGTTTGTTCGCACATCTTTGAAAGATATTTGGCTTTATCTTTCACAATATCAGCATTGAAAATGAAAATAGATCCGTTGTCTTACATTTGTCTTTCAATGCGTACCTCTAATACTATCTGCCCCTGTATATAATAATACAGAACAAATATTTATAGTTTTGGTACAAGGCAATGACAAATGTTTTTATTTCATTGAAAAAGTAACATGATTAATATGCAAAGAAATAAATAATTTTCTTAAAATTTTGGGTACTTTGCAATTACATGCCTTTCATTTTAATATGTACACAGTATTGAAATATTGTTTGTTGTTCCATGTATATTTTCATTTACTAGCATAAGTACAAAAGATAATGTGGTTCCTATTGAATCTTTAATAGAAATCATATACCAAGCCTTAATTAATTTATAACTTTCCAGATCTATAGAACGCACCGTAAACATTTCCTTTGAAATATTTCTCGGATCGCATCACACGTTACATTCTTCCATAGAGGCAAGCAAAGCGAATAATGGGTTAATAAGTGATCGTTGTTTTTACACTGTTATCTCAAAATGGAATAGCAACCATCCAATGCGACTGAGTAGAACACAAATATTCTCTTGAACCAGCCAATGTATTCAATTTATGCAAGCACTGTCAGATGTTCCAAAGTATGACAAGATTATTAAAACACTTTTAGTTATTCCACGTAGACATTCATTGACCAGTGTAAACACAGAAAAGTAACACAGTCACTACCGAATACTTTCAAGAAACCATTTACCCAGCTTTAATTAATATACGTCCTTTCAAATCTATCTGCACCATAAACAAAATATTTTTCTGCTCACATAACGCACGACATACTTCCTCGAACGTGAACGAGGAGCAAAATACCGCGGTAGTAAATAGTCGTTGTTTCTATGTTGTTATTGTTAAAACCGTGTAGCAACAAATCCAGTGCATCGAGCACGAAATTCTTTCGAAACAGTTAATTCGCCAAAGCACTGGCGTTTCAAAATACGAGAAACTGTTGGCCCATATGCACGGGTATGCGTAAAAATGAAATCGGCGGTGTATTCGCGGGAAACCAGGAGCGAGCGTCGTTCCCTTCGTCGTGCACCTCTTCGTTGATCCTGGTCTCGATGCCGACGTTGTCCACAGGAGCCACGTCGGGCATCTTAGCCCGCGAATTCCGTGATTGGATGCCTCTACACACGGATGCACAGTTTGTGAACTTTGCGGTATACTCCCGGCTGTTTGTTAGAACGACGCCGCAATAGGAGTCGGTGCACCTCCAGAATTGGCGAGCGTCCCAGGGAACGAACAAGTTTCACTTTTCAACCTCGCCTCTTATCAACCAGTCCACGATACGCTAGAAGGCTTCGCGACACCCTCGATCGCCGACCACGCGACGTTGCTGCGCGCACATACAACCGCGAAAAGTCCAAGCCAACCCCGAACGCAATCGACACATTCAACGCTCTACGTCGCTCGTACGACGTACGTGCATGTTCAGTGTTCCCGACGTGCAACGGGGCTCAGTACGGTGGATGGATGGATGTGTAGATGGATACTTCCTTCTCTCTCGTTGATCGAGATTCTCGATCCGGCAGGATTGCCAACTATCGCGAGTTAATAACCTTTCGCGATGCTCATTTTATTACTTTTTTTTTTACTTTACCAAGCCGTTACCGAGTAAAACAGAAAAGGAGGTATGGAAACTTCGATCTTTTTCGCTTTTTCGAAATCTCTCAGGTTGGAAAATGAACAAAATTCGATATATTATATGTGTATATGTACAGCGTGTATGTATGTGTGTATGTTGAGCTCTCTGTTTTGCTCTATATCGCAGGAGAGGTTTATCAGAAATAGAGATCGAAAGTTTGCGATTTAAAAAAGAGATACTCGTTTATTTAAAACGTTAAGGCTTATATTTAAGTCACTTTGGTATTTGAAAATATTATGTCCACATTCATTGTCTTAAAAATGTACAAAGTTGAACGGAATTGTCTACAAAAATTTGATAGGAGAGAAGATCATTTTTTTGAAGTAAAAATCATAAATTTAAATTAAAAACTACTAACTATGATATTTTTCTGACGATTTAGGAAACGAAATATATTTCACACAATTTCAGTCAAAGCATCTAATCGATACATAATTCGACTGTGGAGTGAATACACCTATGACACGTATTAATATAAGAAAGGATATGTAAAATGTGCGCAGAATATATTTTATAAATTTATAAATACATATAAATTGCATACACTTTCCACGAGTAATTCATATTCACACCATAAATACATAGAAATTCGCAGTCTATATATAACTGCTGAAATACATTCAATATTTAATTAACTTAAATTACTTAGTTTCAAGTACATTCTTTAATCGTGAATATACAGATTCTTGTTTCTTTATTGAAATGTATATACAAAGGAACGACGTTTGATTACAAATCTTACAAATCCATCAAAAAATGATCGTACACATAAAACAATTTAAAACTTCAAAATGTAACGCGAAGGTGTTCTCATTTCTTCCGCGACAGTTGGCTGCAGTGTGTCGCCGGGCGGGTTAAGCGAAATATCGACAATATTTTCCGCCAGGGGCGCTCGTGTTTTGCAAGAACGTTTACTATTCGTTTCCGGTTTATGTCGTAGTTGAACAACGTTCTTCATTTTCCGTTCTACATCCCTTTGCATCCCTTTTCACGCGATAAGTGTTCACACGCGTAAGTTGTAAACGTTACGTTAGGCCATTTTCTGTGAGATATACGATAGAGTAGCGAGGGGCACCACGAATATAACAAGTATTGCGACCATAACGATACCGGAAGTTCTGTAGTTTCGTTATCAATACGTACATTCACAGTTCACAGAAATGGCGACCGCTGTTCCTTCGAGATTTGCAGTGCTCAGCATCGATGATGACGATTGTAAGCCGAAGAAAACGGCGAAGAACATTACCACTGGCAAGCTGAATCAAAAAACCAAAAACGACAAATCGAAGCAACAGCAACAATCAAAGAAGGATGACAAAAAAAAACAGAACAAGGTACAACGCGTGTAGTCTTTGTTGTTTTTTTGTTGTTGTTGTTTTTGATTAGCCGGGAAACGTCACAGTACTTACAAAACCACTGGCGGGAATGTTAAATGAGAAATGCTCGACTCTTAATCGATTTTCTAGAAAATCGAGCTTGATATGACAATCTTCGATTTTGTATATTTATTCTTCTGTGTTCGATATTTTCAAATAAAATCAAATCAGAAGTAGCAAAAATTTTATTCGAACAATGAATAACAAGTAACAAACAACAATATAGCGATTTATTCATGACAACGATACATGAATATAATTTGTCAAAGTACTTGTACAATAACATTTTCATTTACTTTTTACTATGTTAATTTATAATTATCTTTTTTGTTTGTAGGGAAAAAAGAAAAAGACTAACAATAATAACAATGAAAATCAGCAGTGGGAACAATGGAAACAGAAAGATACAATGGTAATGTATAAATTGTTTTTATAATTGTAAGTTCATTTCATGATAGCTTTGTAAATGATTTCATTCTAATCTAACACATTGGCTTCGAGTGACGCACGTACGCGTCCTTGAGATTTTCATACATCTGTTTTAAAATAAATGTATAAAACACTATAAATAGTTCAGTTTCTTTTTATATAAATGTCATCAAAGATGTTTCACAAATTAAAACAATTATGTATGTTTTAAACTTTTACTTTTATTTTAAGGTTATTCACACTGAAATTGTGTAATAACTGTATATTTATAATAAATATTTTTGTATAGAAGAGATCTAAATGAAAGACGAAACATTTATTAAATAAATAAACTATATTCGTTCTAATCTCCTAAGCTTCTTTCATATGTAATATAGTACTTGTTTTACAACGGGTATTTATACAATGCCTTCCATCGAGTTGTCTATAATTAGGACAGCACAGACTTGACTAATAAGTGTGAAAATCATCGTTTAGTTTCAAATATAAATTTTTAAATCTGAGGTTTTGTTTCAGTAGTGACATATTTATATGTGTTGTGTGTTATCACGTCCAATTGTGATTTCCTTAAGGCTGTCGAGGAAACGTTTGAGCAAGAGTTGCATCAAGCCATCTTACTGTCGAAACTGGCTTATGAAGAACAACTAGTAAGTGCAGCAAAGTCAGACAAAGAGCAAGAACCTAATAAAAAGTCAGGGAAAAAATCGAAAAAGGCCACCATGTCGTTAGAGGAATTCAATAATATGGGATCAAATGCTGTTCAAAATACAGCTCCACCACCTGACTGTGGAGAAATTAAATCAAAAGGTAATATTTCCTTGTAATTGCAAATCTTTTGCAAGGGAAACACGTGAAATAAAATAATATGTGATTAGTTCATACGAATTTTGTAGAAGAGGATGCAGAATTTTTTGAAAGGGTTGAAAAAGAAACAAAAGACGAAATAACAAAGGGAAAGGAAAAAGATATGTTGAAAGCAAGACTAAAGAAAATTGATGATGATATTACATCTGCTCAGCTAAGGGTTGAAGTGGAAAAACGAGATGAAATTATTAATCAATTAAGGACTCAGGTTGGGAGCTTGAAAGAAGAATTGACACAAGTTAAAGAGAGAAATAAAAAGCTTTATCAAATATTATCTCACGGTGAAAGTAAGTTGATATTGCTTTGTTAATAATATTGTAATATTGTGGTAAATATGATTCATAGTGTTAATTATGACTCTTAGTGAAGGATAAAGCATCGGTATTAGCAGAAGTAGCAAAATTACAAGAAATACGAGATGAATTAACATCAGAAGTAACATCTTTACACGCACAGTTGGAACAAGAAAGGTCCAAGACACGTATTTCTAGCGCGGATGTCAAACCATCTAAACAAACTGTGAGATTTTTTTAAAAATTAAATTGAATATTTAATATTTTTGTACCCACGATCGCTTAATAATGAAAATAAAATGTTTACTTTTTAGAACAAGAAGAGGCCTGCTAGTGAAAATGCCTAAGTTACAAAATAATTTTGTTGAACGTAAAATACTGAAACATTGTGATCTGCAAAGCTTAATTTACTGCTATTGATTATTCTATTAATCAGTTAACAGTCTCAAGACTGATGTCTAATTATTAAAACCTAAGATCTCATGGCAATGTATCTCATACTCAACTTGCAAGCATATCGAGCATTTTTTTAAACTACATATTTTTTAGATACGTATAAGATTCATTTAATGGAGACATAGCCATGTTAATATTTTTCTAAACCATGCATTTTCGTTTATAATTCAATTTCTTTACAATATGTTTTCACAAATCATGCAAGGATATTACTTATCCTTTTATCCAAACTCTTCTGCATAATAATCATTGAATCTGTACAAATGAGCGTTGCAGTAAAGTTTAGATATAAATCTTCTGCGATACTACTTCCAACGTAAAAACATCGCGATGTGAATTATACACAGTATCGTTATCTTCCAAATTTTTTTAGAATCTACATCAGTGAGTACAATACACATTATCTAACATATTTTGTAATAAAAATATTCTACAGTATGCTTGTTGATATTAATGATTTCCTTGATATTCTGTTAAATCGGTTAGAGAAATTAATATATTTTGAAAAGACTATTATATATTTTAAAAGTGACAATGTTTCATCGTATAAAGAGCACTTTGTAGAAGTTAAACATTGAAAGATGATTAAATTTTTCCTTCTATGAGACTGACACAGAACTATATACATTACAGAAACAAAATTTCAGGTCCTAAATGTAAGCCATATTTATATACAACCTATCATAAATGTATCAAAATAAACAATAAAATAAATATATATTTTCACAAAATGGTTTGGGTGTTTTAACATTATTTGGCAAACTGAACCACATATGTTAATACTAATATTTTGTTAGCATTCTCGTGTAGTATTTCTACAATTATTTATAGAATTCATTGTATTCATAGTCATGAGTTTCGTTCCAAGTTCACAGGTTTACTTAAATTTAGTAAATATAAACTTTATCGAACTAAAGTCATCATGTACACCCTCAGGGGCTGTAGCTACATGTTTGATTGCAGCTACAGTACGGGTTTTGCAATCCCGAGGTACCCGAGCTATAGGGAACCCAATGGGGCCCAAAAAAACCCTGTCATCCCTAATGGGAAAATTACGAAGAGAGCTTTATTTAAGTAAAGCAAATGCAAGCCTGGTACAATAGATGTTATTGTCAAGTTATACGGCTTATCACCTTCGTAAATAGAACTCACTCATTCTATAAGAGTTTGTTATCTCCCAACTAAGATAGTTGCGATGAAAACTCTTACGATACTAAAATATAATTCTTTTTGATCCAAACTGGTCGTACGATATTACCCTTCGCGAGTCTTTTTAGTCTCCGATTGCCATCATCTCTACGTACCAATTTTGTGCTTTTTCAGCCATTCCCATCGGTAACATACCATTTCGCGCGATGCTAAGCTTCATCCGGATTATACGCGTGCGGGTCCATTTTTATGGAAATTTTTTGTTCACTTTTTTTTCCTGCCTCGAGTTATTCCTGGCGAAATTTTTTTTTCGTGCTCCCTCACTCGCTCTGCTTCAACATTCGGTTCCGATATGTTACACCTCACGTTCCAATTCTTTTTGCCGGCTTTGCTCCATTCGTTCCCGAGTTCACGTAAAAAAAAGAACCAGAGAGAGAGAGAGAGAGAGAGAAAAAAAAGCAGCAAAGAGGATTTGCACGTACCATGATAAATTTAAATACGCATTATACTTTTCATTAAAGAGTGTCATCGGCTTATAGCCGTAAGCGGATAAATGAATGATTTACGTCATACGTAAAACGCTGATGTATCGTTAATAATAGGATAACTGAAAAAAAGTGGGAAAACATGCGTAAATAGCAGTATCGGTAAAAAGTCAGGCGTTTTTAAGGTGCTGATTGCAGGATTAATTGTTCGAATGTTTCATGCTTTATTTCAAGATTTATGACATGAACTATGAGAAAAATTGTAGAGGGTCAAGTGTTATCAATTTTAGAGCGACGACTGTAACCCCATCAATTTTTTATTTCATTAACACTTTACCGACCGTTAGCGATTTTTTTTATTTTGGCAATATTAGCGTTATTCAATCTCTATTTTATTTATTAGAATTGTAGGGCCCCTGCAAACCTTGAGGGGAGGCAGTAATTAAATACAATACTATT